TAATCACACCAATAACAAAATATACACACACATATACACACAGAAATACACACACACATACATACGAGCCCATGAATATATATACATTTTCCTTTCTTCTTCTTTCCTGTCTCTCTTTAGAAACCACGATTTCAAGGTAGTCACGAAGGTTTTCCAAATATCATCAAGTGTTTCCCGATACTCGTCAACGCGGCGTTAACTGAAGGAGAATGCGTGTTCCTGGATTTTTTTCTCTCTCACTTTCATTTTCATCTAGTTATGATTATGATTATTCTCATGATTTTTTTTTTTTTTTTTTTTTTTTTTGGTCCTTCCTATAGAAATCGTTGCCATGGTTTAGCACTCGTATTGTAAGTAGAAAGATATTGTGTATAAAAAACCACTCAGAAACAGAAGGCAAAACTGTTTTTTTCTCACTCTGACGGTGTTTTTTCATTTTAGGCCGCAAAAATCAGGCTTTGAAAAAAAAATATATATATATTCACAGAACCAGAAATCCAACGCCAAAACTTTACGGGCCTCATATCCGCATTTAACCACACTCCTTCATTAGCAACAATAGTTAATAACTAAAACAATAGAACCAAAAAGTTACCTCGCAAAAATGGGTTTCAATAATAAGAAAAAAGAATAAAAAAGGGAAACTGGCACCCTTTCAACCAATATCATCCCTTCGATAATGCCAACGTCCTTAGGAACAATGGCACACTAGCCACGGTCTTCGTCAACGCAGCGATAACGTGGCACTAATACCCTCCTCCCCTTTTCTTCTCTTCTTTTCTTTTCCTTCTCCTCCCCCTCTCCTCCCCTCGCATTTTCACTCCTATCTTTTCCTTCCCTCCTCCTTCTGCCAGCTCCCTCTCTCTCATCTCTCTTCTCCCCTCTCTTTTTTCTTCTTCTTCAACTTTTCCCTTTCCCTTCTCCTTCATCTCCTCTCACTCACTCTTCCCTTTTCCCCTCCCCTTCATTTCCTTCACTCTCACTTCCCTGCCGCCGCCGCCGCCGCCGCCGCCGCCGCCTCCTCCTCCTCCTCCTCCTCCTCCCCTCTCTCCACCACCAACTTCAACACCTGATAATTCTCGTAAGTGCCAGCGTCTGTCAGCGTTCGCTGTCTTGTGCCAATTGCTGTTAACGAGGAATATGCATTTGCACCCGCACATACATACATAAATACATATATATATATATATATATATATATATATATATATATATATATATATATATATATATATATATATATATATATATGCATGATTTAGCATTAACTAAGATAATCAAAAGTGAAAGCACATAAAGGCGCGCGCGTGCGCATGTGCACACACACACACACACACACACACACACACACACACACACACACACACTGCCCAAAGGAGAAACGAGAACCAAAGCAAAGCGAACAAAACACCAACAAACAAGTGAAGTTCGAAAAGAAAAACACACTCATTAGTAAAGAGAAAGTATTAACCGCGCTCAGTGAAAGACAGAATGTTCAAGAAGACTGAAAATCTCATTAGGAAACAACTACCTCCTTCGACATCCCTTCCCCCTCCCCCTCCCCCTCCCCCCAAAGAAGAGAGGAAGAAAACAAAAATACAAAAGACATTTTGCTTTGTCTTCGCCGGAGGGAGGGAGATTGCCCTTCCGTCCTCTGAGCTGTCCCCCCCCCCCCTCTCTCTCTCTCTCTCTCTCTCTCTCTCTCTCTCTCTCTCTCTCTCTCTCTCTCTCTCTCTCTCTCTCTCCCTCCCATAAGCATACGTTCATGTGCGCACACAAACACATAGAGGAAAATCGGTGATAAAGAATAAGAATAACAGGAGCAACGTAATAAGTAAACCAAGAAATGCGGATGAAAAAAAAGAAAAAAAACAACAACGAAAAAAACGTAATCAGCTGACACAAAGAAGAAAGGAAGGAATAAAAAATCGGCCCGTGATAAAAAAAATGTCCAAAAGCTGCCAATTCAGCTTAAGAATCTTATCTTTTCAGTTCCACTCCTTCCCTTATACTGGAACAAATCTGTTCTCCTATTTCCAACCTCACAAATAAATACACACTGAAACAAACAAAAACACAAATCCACGGGAAAAAATGCACTCATACAACACACATTAAAATATACACAAACAAAAGCACACACAGACAGACACATACACAGTTGCATATACATACACGGACAAAGCCATACACAAACAAACACATACACAGACAAACGCATACACATACACACATTTACACAGACAAACACGCACGGACACACAGACAGACAGACGGGAGTCGGCCCAGCGGAGCCTCGGCCATCTCGCCCCTAATCAGCGCCGCCCATTATGCAAACGAGGCGTCGTCGGCCTCTGCTTGCAACGGCAGGATCCTGAACTTTGCAACAGATGGAGCCCCAACTTTGCAAAAGAAGGATAATCAGCTCTGTAGCGAGAGAAACCCTTTTTTCTGCAAAAGAAGGACTATTAACTTTGCAGCGGTAGGGCTTTGAGCTTTGCAACAGGAGGAAGCGGTTTTTGCAACAGGGGGAAATCCGCTTTGCACAAGATAATGTATCTACTTTGAAATACTTTGGTACTTCTGAGCCAGAAGATTCAGTTTGCAACAGATGAAAATGCAACTTTTCAGTGAACGAAGCTTCTGATTTGCAACACGTAGGAATTTCGGATTATGCAACGAAAGTAAATTTTCTCCTCAGATTTGATAGAAACTTTGCATATAAATTGCGAGAAACTTCGCTTTGCAACAAAAGAATCTTCTTCTTTGCAAAAAAAAGGAAACTCAGCCTTGCAACACCTGGCTGAGCGTCCGAGCTGAGCTGGACCTCAACTCTCGGCGATTGCAAACAGAAGGGAATTCGCGGGTCTCCTCGGGCGTCGGCTGCTGCGTCGCCGGCGGGAGTCGCGGCAACTCAGTACTTAGGCAAGAATAAATAATACTGTTCGGCATCTCACTTCATCGGTAGTTTGCGGATTTCTTTGTCAACAGACCAGAGAGAGAGAGAGAGAGAGAGAGAGAGAGAGAGAGAGAGAGAGAGAGAGAGAGAGAGAGAGAGAGAGAGAGAGAGAGAGAGAGAGAGAGAGAGAGAGAGAGAGACTGAGATAAGGAGAGAATTCAAGCCATATCAATCCACAGAAAACGGGAAGCGCCCAAATCGAAGCTCCGCCCACCGCCCTCCGCCGCCGCCTCCGAATCGCCTGCGGCCGACTTCGGCAGCAGAATTTCCGACTCGTAATCCAACAAAGGAAATTGATTATACCTACAAACCGCCTAATGAGGAAAAGCAGGCGGCCTAATAGCAAACAGAGGTCGTATTGCCTGCCGGCTCTGCAATCTTATCGCAGCGAACGCATTGCAACGCCATTCATCATTCTTCAGTGGGCTGGATGTTGCAAAAAGGCGGTCGTTTGGGTTGCAAGATGGGGAGTCGGGGGTTCCTTGCCCTTTCCGCCCTCGCTTCTTGCCCTTAACCCTCTCTCTTTCCTCCTTCTCTCTTCTATTCACATCTCGTTTCCTCTTCTCTTCTCTACCCTCCTCCCTTTTATTGCTTTCTCCTCGCATTCCCATTCGCCCGCCATTCATATATCCTTCCTTTCTTCTCTTTTTCTTTCTCTCTCTGACTGACTGTCTCTCTCTTCCTCTCTCTCTCTTCCTCTTTCTCTCTCTCTCTCTCTCTCTCTCTCTCTCTCTCTCTCTCTCTCTCTCTCTCTCTCTCTCTCTCTCTCTCTCTCTCTCTCTCTCTCTCTCTCTCTGTCTGTCTCTCACACACACAGAACACAAATTCACATACGAAGGAACAAACTCAAACACATTTCACATAGAGAAACAGACACACAAACGCACACGGACAGGCTTACACCCCCCCCTTCCGAATGAGCCTAGTATCATTTCGGATTGATAAAATAATTAATGACATTGTAATGTCTTGATGTATGGAGAGTGGGGAGAGGGAGGAGAGAGAGAAGGAAAGGGAGAGGGGGGAGGGAGAAGAGAGAAAGAGGGAGAGGGAGAGGGAGAGGGAGAAGGAGAGGGGGGAGAGGGAGAAAGAGAGATGGAGAGGGTGAAGGAGAGGGAGAGGGGGGAGAGGGAGGAGAGGGAGGAGAGAGAGGAGAGGGAGGATAGAGAGGGAGGAGAGAGAGAGAGAGAGAGAGAGAGAGAGAGAGAGAGAGAGAGAGAGAGAGAGAGAGAGAGAGAGAGAGAGAGAGAGAGAGAGAGAGAGAGGAGGGGGGGAGGGGGAGGGAGGATAGTTGGAGGAGAGAGAGGGGAAAAGGGTGGGAGAGGAAGAGGGAAAAGGGAGGGAGAAGAGAAAGAGAAAGAGAAAAAGAGAGAAAAGTGAGAGAGAGAAAGAAAGAAAGAAAAAAAAAAAGAAAGAAAGAAAGAGAGAGGGGGGAGGGATAGGGGGAAGGGGAACTTTTATCCAACAAACTTCGTGCTCTGCCCCCCCCCCCCCACCTCCATCCTTCCCCTCCCTCTTGCATAACGTTGCCGATGTTGCTTTCCGTCCCCAAATAATATTTTTTATGGCGCCATATCCGGAAAAACCATGGCGTCATATCCAAAAGAATATTACTCTATTACGTTATACCCGGAAGTAAATATTTCATCATACCCAGAGTAAATGCAATTACACGAGAAACAAAAGCAAGTTACACTAAGTAAATGTTCTCGTTACGTTGTATAAAACGTAGAAGATGGCATCTGACCAAATTCACATAAAAACCGCCAATTCACCGTCCCAATTCGAGATGAAACACCACTTCCACATTCTACGAATTCTACATGAGCAACCTTGAAGTTCACCCCCCCCCCCCGCAAAAAAAAATCCTTGTCAGTCCAAAAGTTCAAACTCCAAACTTCGAACTTCTCTAGTCAAATTCAAAACAAAACAAAATCTAAATCATGAAGTATCCCAAGAAGTTTCCCTCCTCAGCTGCTAAATATACCATTTCACTTTCTAATTTAAAAGTTCAAAGTTCAGAATTTCCCAGAATAGCTTACCTGCTGGCAGCTGAAGGTGGTATGTCTTGTTCAGCAGGTGGCAGCAGGCGCCCGTGACACACAGCAGGAGCGAGGCCACCTGACCTAGCAGCAGGGCCCGCCATACTGACCTGCAGAAGGGGGGGGGGGGGTTAGTCATAGCAAGTTCGAAAGGTCAAAGGCCTTGTTATCAGCTCTAAAGATCTGGGTTAATGGTCAAAAGAGTACTTAAAGAATATAAAACACTAGTAATACTGATTATGATAATAGAGATTATAATAATAATGATCTTGATGTTAATAATAGGGATGATAATGATGATTATGGTGAGGATGATGATGATGATAATAACAATTATGACTAATAAAAAGAATGATAATAATGAAAATATTAATAATAATAGTAATAATAATAATAACAATAATAATAATAATAATGAATATTATTAGTAGTTGCAATATTAATGATAAAAATAACAACAGTAAAAATATCAATAACAATGACAATAATAATAAAGAACTATGATGTGTATAAATCTAACAAACTAAACATGAAACTATATTCAGAGCTTAAAAAAGTATATCAGTTCTTAAAGAACTAAACAGCTAAAGTGGCGTGACACCCAAGTTCCTCAAAACAACAAAAAATAGAATAAATCATAAACAAAACAACAAGCAAGAAACACAACATAATGACCTTCCTTTAATACAAAGATAAAAGAGGATGCCTAACACGCAGTCGCTCCTTCCGGATGCATCTCGGGAGGAACGGCATCACAGAAATATCAACGATGCCGATGCCTGGCCGTTACCATGGCAACCGGCGCGAGGCAGCAGGAGCGCCTTAGGCCACGTTTACGGAGCGCCGTCCGCTGAAAGATCGCTAATTACTAGCGGTGTAGCGGAGATGCAAACAAACATTCGCAAACAGACACAGACACACACACACACAATATTAAATAACAATACTTCTTTCTAAATTACTGCTGGTAATACGTTAGGAAAACTTTAAAATATAAACGAAGCGTATTAGACTTCCTAAATTAACTGTCTCTATCCGTGACCTTGAAATGTAATAAGATTAAGCCTTTAGTTTGAGTTGCTTTAAGATTGACTGCGAGTGGCATGACGTCGCGGTCTGCACAAGGCTCGGGTGGCGTGAAGTCATTCCGGCCAAGAGGCATCGCTCGTGGGGACGTCACCGCCAGCTTCTTTTTTGCTATAACCATATCAAAATAAACATGTGGCATATCACAAGGTATTTTTTAATCCTAGAAATAATAAATATAAGAAAACTAAAGAATATCCTAAGACTAAGGCCTTCTACTAACTATAAATCGTAATAACCACAAGAAGATATTAATAAATACATAAAGTTGACACTTAACCGACGTCTTTCCGGGCAGGTCCTTAGAATTTTGCAATGTTCATTTGGGTTAAAACAATTTTCCAGTTTTCTTAAAGAACATGGTTATCAAGCAAAATGACAATTTCAGGGATTTTTTACTGATCATGATTCCGAAAAAAAAAATTTAACTTGCAACATTCGCTGATCACGCCTCGGACAAGAAAGCAATCAGTCTCTCCCTTCTTACTATATAGTTTTTTTCTTTATCATTAATCGCCACTGTATCCATGCCTCAAAAAGAAAAAAAGAAAAGAAAACGAGAGAGAGAAAAATACGGGCATTAGGCTGGCGGAAACATGGCAGTAAAATAATGTATACGGTTTGCACATGAACCGCCAATCACTTTTCCCCATAGACCTTGAAGGCGAGGTCCTTCCCGCACTGCCCGAACACCGGTGGACGGAGAATCGAGTCCCTCCGGAAAGAAGACAGTAATAGCTGCTCACACTCCCGTGACTTCCTCCCTTAAATATTAAGTTATTTATCAAACTAACTCTTCATAGATATCTCAAATAATTGTTTTAATCTATTCTGCTAGTTCGGACACTAAATTCAGGTATATAAATACGCCCTCATAAGAATAGTATGTATTTAAACATTTCAGTAGGGTTAGTCTGTCCTGCTCTTTTCGTCAGCCAAAGGACCTTTACAATTCATGAACAATACATTTTAATTAAATGTCGAATCAATAATGGCATATACATGCATATGTGTGTGAGTATGTATATATGTATGTATGTGTGTATATCTATATCTATATCTATATCTATCTATCTATCTATCTATATATATGTTTCTTCTCTCTTCTCGGTATTGCATATGCAGCAAATGTACTAAACAGTGGCCACAACTGTCTGTCTGTCTCTTTCTCTTTCTCTCTTTTTCTCTTTCTCTCTCCCGCTCTCTCTCTCTCTCTCTCTCTCTCTCTCTCTCTCTCTCTCTCTCTCTCCCTCTCTCCCTCCCCTCTCTCTCTCTCCCCTCCCTCCCTCTCTCTCTCCCTCCCTCTCCCCCTCTCTCTCCCTCTCCCCCTCTCTCTCCCTCATCCCCCTCTCTCTCCCTCACCCCCTCTCTCTCCCTCTCCCTCTCCCCCTCCCTCTCCCTCTCCCTCTCTCTCCCCTCCCTCCCTCTCCCTCTCTCTCTCCCTCCCCCTCCCCCTCCCTCTCTCTCTCTCTACATATTTAAATGTAATCTAAAGTGTTATTTCGAGAAAACCGAACTTGAGCCAAAACTTGACGGAGTGTCTTAACTAATTTTCTTCTTCTTAAAAGTGAGAAAACAGCCATATTAGTTCGAGTGAAGCGAAACAAAATTAAGGAAGCGCAAAAAAGGCGAAGATGAAGGTAGTGAACAGGAAGAGAAAGAAGGGAAAGGAAAAGAGAATAATAACAAGATGGAAAATAGAGGAAGATGACGGGGAAGAGGGGGATGAAGATAAAGAACAGGAATAAGAAGAAGCATAAAAAAGGGATAAGGGAAGAGGAAGATTAGGGAGAGGACGAGGAGGAGGAAAAGGAGGAAAAGGGAGAGGCAGACGAGGAAATGGAAGAAAGAAGGGAAGAGAAGCAGACGAATAAAAGGCGTGCTATGTGATCCGCCAACCGACGTCCGGACTCCGC